CTTTACATTTCACCATTGACTGTATATCCCATCAATACTCTGACAATACAGGGGTCTTTACCAAATCATTCTCACCCAGGTGGATGAGGAGTATCAGCCAACTTCAGGGAAGGAGGGGCCCCCATAGCATGCCTCTCCACCCAAACCAATGAATGTGCCCAAATTGCTCTAGCCCCAGGTTTGGATCTTGGCCCAACAGGAGAGCATGTTGTTTGGCCCAAAAAATCCAAGCTGTGACCCATAATCCAGACATCACCCTGATTTCCACCTGCTCAACAGAAAACCACACATTAGAACCTCAAGGAACCATCGTTCGCCCCCCCCCCGAACTAGAAGTCAAAATCTAGTCAACCTAAGGGCAAATGTAAGCTTTAAATGCTCCAGAGCACCATCACCCAATACGTCAGATCACAGCATTTCCCAGGCCGTGAATGAATGAGAAAAAAATTGGGCCACTGGTAAGCCCGTATGCTTCAGAGCCTCCTGCAACACTGCCCTAAATTGAAAGTGTGTCAAAGGAAGGCCTGAGACATAAAAAAACAAATAACCAGGAGATGCTGGGCGCAAACTGAGGTAATATGTCAAAGACTTTACTGGACAGATCTGGCCCCTAGGAGCCCAAGATAAGACTATGGTTTGACCCCTGGCCAACTGGTCTGCCTTTGACAGTTGGCTGCCCACCTTTCACAGCTGTATGGTTTACCGCAATACGTGAGGTGTCACCTGCTGACAGCCCAGATGAGGGTACCTCCTGCACCTGAATGGCTTGCAGTTGCACTACCTCTACCTCACTCATGGTTTCCGAGCCTGTGGCTGGAGGAGCCGAGTTTCCAGGTTACCTCCCTGTGCCTCCCTGTGAGCGAGCTGCTCGCATACAGCAACACATGCTGCCATTGTGTGGCCCAACTGGGCTAGGTGAGCCACCATTTCGTCATCGCGTCCCTGGGCTTTGGCCGAACGCTTAGGCACTGACTGTCCCTTGACCAATCCAATAGGTGCCGTGTGCCGCTTGGATTGAGGCTTGCTCCATGGCATGTCCTCTCTAAAATTGTATTATTAAAATGTTTGACTCTCCGCTGAGAATCGAACCCTTGTCTCCAGCGTTGTGGAGGGGGCACCCGGACATGAACCAGGGACCTTGATGTGCTGTCAAATGCTCCACCACTGAGCTATACCCCCTGTCCAATGCACAAACCGCTAAGCCATGCTGGCTCTCTCAGCTGCTGGCCGCTTGGACTGAACTGGTATACACACAGTCCAAGGCACAAACCACTAAGCTATGCTGGCTCTCTCAGCTGCTGATCTAGAAATGGCTGCCACCACATGGCTGAGGGCCTTAAATAGGCCCCAAATCTCATCCTAAATCTTGTGAGACTATGGAGTCTCACAAGATTATGTGGACTGCTGGGGGATCCAGCGAGATCCCCCCAGATTGGGTGGGAGCCGCAGGAAGGATAGGACTTCTTGCCCTCTCAGCCAATCGCGGCGTCAGCCTTCTTAAAATGGCCGGTGCAATAGAAGGCCCCTCCCGACACGTCTTTGTTTCCTTCCCCTTTAATTTTAATACAGATGATCTCCACCTGATTTCCAGGATTTAAGGCCTGGATCTCATCACATGTGTAAACATCCCTGACATATAATGGTATAAGGTTACTATCTCCCTCCCCCACATGACTCTGTTTAAAGCCCTCCTGTTCAAATGTTTAAGACTATTGGCAAAAAGGTTCCTGCCAACTTTTGTGAGATGCAGCCCATGATCCAAAAATCCAAAACATTCTTGGTGGCACCATCTACAGAGCCAGTTATTCATATCTGCTATTTTCCTCTCCTTTCCCAGACCATGCCCTTCAACTAGGAGAAGAGATGAGATAACGACTCATGCATCCAGATCTTTCAACTTCCTATCCAAAGTCTTATAATCCTTTCTGATATTCTGAAGGCTATGCCTTGCAGTATCATTGGTTCGCACATTGACCAAGAGGAAGAGGTAATGGTCAGTAGGTTTGTGTTGAAAATATGTATTGAAAATACAAAGTTGCATATAAAATCGCTTTCTTCCTTCAAACTGACAAGCTATTTTCTTACCAGCACAAATGTGAAATTGATGAAGAAACATAGAAGCTACATTACTACTCAAAGACCCTCCCAAATAACTTCATTGGGAGATTAATAGAATATGGAAAAAGCAGAACCAATTAACAGGAACCTTTAAGAACTGCAAGCTTACAAGCAATAGCAGGCATTATTCTGTTGACAGATAGACCTGTAAGATATGGTGCTACCTTGCTCCCAAGTCAGTCAGCCTTCCATGCCATATATGCCTCATGACTTACATTTACTGAAAGGGTTCTTGAGATAGTTGAAAATTGTTACAAAGATAGCTGTCAGACAGTGGTGTCCCTAGGGTTGGTGTAACCCGGTGCAATAACTCAGTGTCACTCCCCTCTTGACTGACTCCCATAACACATCATACAGAATTCTTTGTACAATCCATATCCAGGGATTTTTTTTATCCATGGATTCAACAATCCACAACTTGATTTTTTTTTTTAAAAAATACATTAATTTTTTTTAAAAATACTTGACCTTGCTATTTCATATAAGGGACACAATTTCACTATGTCATTGTATTTAACTTTACTTGAGCATCCACAGATTTTGATATCAATGAAGGGCCCTGGAACCAAACCCCAGTATGAGGACTAGAAACTTGAATCTCATTATAACCTAATAAAATCAAGCTTTTATTATCAAGCACAAGATCTAGAATCTTAACTCTTTTATGGTAACTTCCTCCAAACATTTTTTTTAAAAATTCCTTGCTGTGTGTTCTCCTCATTTTCCCCTTCTCAATTTTCATCCCTTCCCTATCCTACAGGGTCCTCCTGCTTTCACAGCTTCCTCATAACACACAAAAGTAAAAAATAAATAAAAATTAAGGGATTTCCCCTAGTATCCAGAGTGACCAGATGGCCTAACTGCAAAGGAGGACAAGGCATCACAAAATGTTGGGTCCTAAAGAGAAATGGAGAAAATGACCAAATACAAGCTAGAAGCACTCATATAAATGTAAATACAGGCTATTTAGTCCTGCTTTAAATGGAGGACATTTTGGAATTCCTCCTGAACAGAAGGCTGAAGTGGAGGGCATGGGCATGTTCAGGAAAAGGAGGAACTCTTGCATGTGCATATGCCTCATTTTGCATGTGCTTCATTTTGCCTTGCAACAGCCCTCAGCTCCCACCCTATCCCTGGGAAGGGCTCCAAAGTGCTCCAGAGAAGTTTTTAACAACATGCACCCCAATCTTTCCTTCAGTTTGTTGCCTTTTCTCTCACTGTCTCCTCCCTTACTTTTTTTGTTGTTCTTTCTTGCCCCATCTCTCAAGCTCATCTCTAAATCTCATTGGTCTCCTTTGGGACTCCAAATCCCAGGAGGCTTTGCATGGAATAGGAGTAGAGCAATATTATTATTATTACTATTATTATTATTAGCCCACCCAATCACAAGGAATCCAGGTGGGTTGCAGCAATAAAAATGCATGGAATACAATAAAATCCAAAATTAGTCCCTTCCCAACCCCCTCCCAACCCAATACTAAAATTACAATAAAGAATCACAATTTAAGGGCAAAAATACAAAAATATTTTTTAAAAGGGGAGATAATTGGTGGATAGAGTGACATAGATCACCTTGTGTGGGGTGAGCAGTTAAGTTGGGAAGGCCTTCCGGAAGAGATCCATCTTAAGAGCCTTTTAAAAGGCTGTAAGAGTAGAGATCATAGAATCATAGAATCATAGAATCATAGAGTTGGAAGA